TCTTTGATGGTACCTTTAAGCTGATGATTCTACTATTCTCAGAGACTCCTTATTTCTTGACTTTTTTGTTGTGGAATAATAAATTTCCTTACCATTCAAGTTTATTTGAATTGACACTTTTTTTTTAAGAGGACAAGGGAAGGAGAGAGGGAGAGAAATATCAATGTATGGTTGCTTCTTGTGGGTCCCCTGCTGGGAACTGGTCTGCAATCCAGGCATGTGCCCTACCTGGGAATCAAACTGTGATCATCTGGTTCACAGGCCCTTGCTCAATCCACTGAGCTACACCAGCCAGGGCTGAATTGACACTTTTGTATCTTGCACCAAAAGGCATCCTGATCATACAGTACACGCTAGAAAAAATGGAGTTTGGCAATCTTCCTGTAGAGAATTTTGCTGTAGCTTAACTTCCAGGAGGAAGGAGAGAAAAATTAGGACCCAAAGGTTGTCCAAAACAGAAGAGGGTCTCCTAAAATTTGAGGAACTGAGAAATTGATAAAAATATGTTTTGGTGATATCTTCTTTTATCAGAACATGATAAAAGGAATTAAAATCTTATTCTCTATCTAATTAAATAACTATTTCATATTTTTGAAGATTTCTTTTGGATAAAACTTGATTTGGGGGCAGGAGGAGGAGCGGGTAACCTTGCAGGCTGAGGCTCTGTGGGGAGCATCATGCAGGGCCACTTCTAAGCATCTGCTCCACAAAAACCCAGAGGACTTCCCCCAAGATGGAGGCATAGGTGGAAGCACCGTACCCTCTCGCACAACTAAGTTTAAAAACAACAAAGTTTTAGTAACAAAAATGCAGCCAAAACACAGAAAATTGAACTACACAGAAGTCTGACAACAACGAACCCTTCAGCCAAACCGGTAAGAGTAGGGCAGAGCCAGCGGCAGAGCCAGCAGCAGAGCAGGGTAGGGCAGGAAATATCCACCCGACCAACCCAGGCGAGCGACTCAGGCGCGCCAGCAGCCATGGGCGAATCCCAGGTGTGGAGTAGCGGGTGGACCCACTGAGGGCTACCGTGGTCACGCATTCGAGAGCAATAAACCAGTGAAGGAGCGAGCGGTGAGACAGACCAAGTAGGCCCCAGTGGTGAGAAGCAGCAGGGGACTGCCATTGTCCTTCTCTGACCCCGCCCCCACTTACAGAGTCACAAACCAGTGACCTGGGTAGCCCCGCCCTGGTGAACACTTAAGGCTCCGCTCCTCATACGTAACAGGCATGAACAGATCAAAACATGGCTCAAGAGCAGCTCAGAGCCCCAGAGCCAATAAATCTAAGCGATGAAGAAATAGCCAAACTTTCAGATGCATAGTTCAAAACACTGGTGATCAGGATGCTCACAGAACTGGTTGATTTCAGTCACAAATTAGAGGAACATATGAAGGCTAAATTAATTGAAATGAAGGGAAATGCACAGGAAACCAATAGTGATGGAAAGGAAACTGGGACTCAAATCAAAGGAGTGAACCAGAAGGAAGAAAAAAAATGACCAAACAGAAAAACATGAAGAAACAAGAATTCAAAAAAATGAGGAGAGGCTTAGGAACCTTCAGGACATCTTTAAATATTCCAACATCCGAATTATAGGGGTACCAGAAGGGGAAGTGGAACAGCAAAAAGTAGAAATCTTATTTGAATAAATAATAAAGGAGAACTTCCCTGATCTGGCAAAGGCAATAGACTTCCAGGAAATCCAGCAAGCTCAGAGAGTCCCAAAGAAGTTGGACCCAAGAAGGAACACACCAAGGCACATTATCATTACATTAGCCAAGATTAAAATGAAGGAGACAATCCTAGAAGCAGCAAGAGATAAGGGGACAGTCACTTACAAAGGAGTTGCCATCAGACTGTCAGCGGATTTCTCAAAAGAGACCTTCCAGGCAAGAAGGGGCTGGAAAGAAGTATTCCAAATCATGAAATCCAAAGACCTACATCCAAGATTGCTCTATCCAGAAAAGCTTTCATTTAGAATGGAAGGACAGATAAAGTGCTTCTCAGATAAGATCAAATTCAAGAAGTTCATCATCATCCTCAAGCCCTTATTATATGAAATGTTAAAGGGACTTACCTACGAAAAAGAAGATAAAAAAGATGAAAAGTGAAAGGACAGCAAACTCACAGTTAGTAACAACCACACCTAAAACAAAAGCAAACTAAGAGGACAGCTAGATCAGGAGCAAAATCATAGAAATGAAGATCACATGGTGGGTTAGCAAGAGGGGGGTGGGAGAAGGAGAAGGGGGGAGAAGGTACAGAAAATAAGTAGCATAGATGGTAGTTAGAAAATAGATAGGGGAGCAAGAATAGTAGGGGGAATATAGAATCTAAAGAACTTGAGACGCATGGTCATAAACTAAATTGGGGGGAAATGGTAGGGGAGGGGTGTGCAGGGTGGAGGGGAATGAAGGGGGGAATAGAACAATTATAATTGCATAATTAATAAAATATATATTTTTAAAACCTTGATTTTTGTTTGACAAAAATGTTCAAGGCAAATATAATTTTTGATTTCCAAAATTTAAAAGTATCTCACTAATTATTTAAAATTTTACTCTTTTCTAAATCTTCTAACACACTTGTTTTTGTTTTAAGATTTTATGTTTATTTATTTTTAGAGAGAGGGGAAGGGAAGGAGAAAGAGAGGGAGAGAAACATTAATGTGTGACTGCCTCCTGCATGCCCCCAAATGGGGACCTGGCCCACAACCCAAGCATGTGCCCTGACTGGGAATTGAACCTGCAACCCTTTGGTTTGCAGGCCAGCACTCAGTCGACTGGGCTATACCAGTCAGGGTCTGATACATCTGTTTTTGAAGCACACCATTGTGAAACTATTCCAAATTATAACATTTTACTTTTATGTAGGTAAATCTTTGAAGAATCACATTGTGATTCAACATAATTTGCTCATGATATTTATACAGAAATAAGTAATTTTAAAGGCACAGGGATGAGGACTGTAGGGGGGGAATGGGAGGGAGGTGGGGAGATGGGGTGGAGGGGGGACTGGGATGGGAGAAATTGACAAAAAAAACTGTACTTGAAAAATAACTAAATAAATTTAAAAAAATAAGTAATTTTATAGAAATCTATCAAAACAAGATGAAGACCAATTATTTGGTTAAAAGTTTTAGAGGAGTGGTTCAACATTAATATCTTATTTATTTATTTTTTAGTAGAAAATGCAGTTATATGAGCTTATCTTAACTTCTTTTCATTTGATATTCCTTAGCTTCTATTGCCTTTTTGATAGCTGTTAGTATTAGTTACTGACAATTCCTTTTTATCATTAACAAAATACAGTTTGAGACCTTTGCTCAGAAAGGAAGGCTCAGATATTAACAAACAACTTAATTATTTCAAGGTTGGGTTCTCTACTCATGAGTTTTCAGCTATTGATTTTAACTACAGTAATTACTATATGTCTTTTTTGATCATTTTGTTGGCTACTCATTTTAAAACCTGTCTGTTTTTCATAACTAGTGATAGTAAAGTTCAGCATTTGAAAAATTTCAATGTTTCTGTGAAATGTTTCTGGACTTGGCTTAATTTTTGAAATGTAAAGCCACTGGTTAATGATCAGAGGTCTCTGAGGTGGTCCACTATAAATAACACTTTCTGACCTTTGTCGATAGAAACACACCTGGCCCTTCTATCCATTGTACACTCACTAATTGTATCTTCACTGTTCTGTCCACCTAGGAAGTGGAGCTTTATAGGCATTACCTGCAATCCACAAACAGATCATTAGGCAATATTAGCTTTTTTTTAATAAACAACAAATTACTAGAACATTCCTTCTGTCACATCATCACACTGACATCGAATGATGCCTCATGACTCCCAGTGAAAAACATTACTATGTCTTACAATGCATTGGGAAACAAAAAGCAAAGACAAAAAAATGAAGTCATCCTGCTCATATTGCAGAGTAACCCTTGTTGGGTCAGAGTTACTGACCTGCCCCAACCCTCTCTATGCCTCAGTTCTCCTTACGTACTAAATGAAAGCTACAAATTCTCATGAAAGTATTTGTAAATTTAGTGTTATTGTTTTGAGAACTTCCAGTCAATAAGATAGGACAATGGGCCTGGTAAAACAGGGGGAGAAGCAAACATGGAGGGCCTAAAAACAATGGCTGAGGAGCTGGATTTTTACATATGGAGACTTGTAAAGATTTCTGAACAAGGTAGTAGTATAATCATCAATAGCTATCTGTGTCTTAGGAGGAACACTGGCAGCAGTGTGTAAAATGGAGGAAAGAGATATGGAAGTAAGAAAAATTAAAAGAATATTGCAAATATCCAGAGGAGAGATCCTGAGGGTAATTACTGTAGAAGGGCATTGGGAGAAACAAGACCAATTTAAGAAGTACGCAGATAATCAATCACAGAAGCAATAAGATATGTTTACTAGATGGTGTGATCAGGGAGGGGCGGGATTTGAATAAAACCTCAAAACTTTGAGGTTTTTGGCCTGAACATCTAAAGATACCATTAATTGAATGGAAGCACAGGATTGCATGTATGTAAAGTGGTCTGATGTTAAGGAATGGTTTTGTTTTGCTGTTTGAAGTGACTGCGGACACCAGTGTGGTGCTACACAGCTGGACAGTTAAAGTAGGTCTGGAACATTTCTTGGTATAAAGGAAAGTAATACTCTTGTAATGCCAACAGCTCATTTTTATAGTGCTCAACCACTCGTGCCCTAAACTCTCAGGTACTTATTACCTCGCCACCAGTAAAAACTTGATTACAGCCCGATTGCGTGAAGGCCCTTGATTCCCGCAACTACGCTGGCAAAATATTAATTGGGATTAATTATCCTGTAGCACAATACAAAGATTAGATGATTTATTGTGGCTTCCGGAGGGCGCTTGCTTCGTTTTTCTCTGCAGCCGTCAGGCAGAGAGAACTGGACAGCTCCTGGTGTGGCTGGCGGTAAGCTCTTCCTGCGTCGGAGCGGGTCTGCCACAAGACGCGCCTGAGCGTGAGTTCCGGCCTACCGGCCCTCGGACTTGGGTGGGTTGACCTTGGACACAGTGCCCCTCCTTCCGTCTTCTAGCTCATGGACCCCAGCCCCCAGCGCCCAGGCAGGGCGGGGCTGCTCCAAGGCCCCGCCCCCTCCAGCTGCGGTCTGCTCCCTCTAGATCCCCGGTGCTTTGAGCGCCTGCGCTGGCCCTTGCCTTGGAGCAGCCATGATGGTGGGTGTTCTCTTGGAGCGTCGGGGCCCAGGCGCCACGGTGGGGGCGGTGGGCGCGGGGCGGGTGTGGGGGCCCCCACCGGCCTGGCACTAATGTCTCCCTTTGTGTCTTCCTCACTCCATCCTTTCCCCGGGCGCCGGGCCCCTTCGATCCCGCAGGAAGGCCTGGACGACGGCCCCGACTTCCTCTCGGAGGAGGACCGAGGAGTAAGTTCTACCTCGTAGCTTGTAGGATCCTCCCTCCCCGCCCTTGGACTTGGGGTGTGATATTCGGGAGGGCCGGGGCAGCGCTACACCCCTTCCGGCAGGCCTCCTTTCGGTTTCCTCACCGCACCACCTTCCTGCAGGCCTTTCCCCCCTCGGGGTCCCGCAGCCGCTCTCTTGACCCCCGACCCCAGCTCGGACCCTGTAGTGGAATTCCTCCCCTTCCCGGGCCAGGGTGCAGGTGGGGGAAGTAGAATCTGGAGTCGGACCCTGACCTTCCTTCGCCACTTTGGGGCTACGAAAACCCATCTTCAGACCTTCCGGGCGGCACCCTCAATTTCCCCTGTGGATCTCAAATCTGCTCCCGCCCACCCTTCATTCTCTCTGTAACATAATAGTACAGGTTTGTTCTAAATTATTCTTTGTGAGAGATATTACAGACAACGAATCTTAACTCTTCTCCAGTATCCTACCAGATTTTGCCAAGTGCCTATAGCCCACAGTATGTAGCTCACATTACTTAATGTCCAAAATAAACACCTTTTGCAGAGTTACCTTGGTGTTATTTTGAGGCGAATTGCATTCTACTTTAGAAAGGACGTTCAGGGCTCCGATTTCTCCCTCCCACTCTTTCCCCCCATTTGCCTTGGCTGAAGGGTGGTAATCTTTATAGTGCCTTGTGCAAGTGAGCACTTGAAAAATACTGATATAAGGTGATTGCAGCTCAGCAAAGTTCCATGATTCCCTCGCATTTATCAGCCTGCACTTTAGTTTTCCATTTTGCTTTTACTTATTTATCTTAGGTAATATGAGAGACACATCTAGTAGTAGATTTTTGGCAGATGATAAATATTCTTTTAGAATTTTTAAAAAATAAGATATAAGGTAGTATTCGCTAATGACCTTTATAAAGCTTTCAAAGGATAAGACAGATGCAGAGAATGCTGCATACTTTTTACTTGATAAATGATTAATTAATTTCTCAGTTTACACAAAAGCATCATTTAAAATGTTTAGTCAGTGCAAAAACGTCATAGGATTTGTGGTTATTTCTGAAAGTTGTAGTTTCTGATTAATTTTAAAATATATAGTTTGCGTAAAAATGTATATGTATCTTCTGGGGTAAGACAGTAGACTTGCAAATTGTATTTTGAATTTTATTTTATTTATTTATTTATTTTTAGAGGGGAAGGGAAGGAGAGAGGGAGAGAAACATCAATGTATGGTTGGTTGCCTTTCCTGCGCCCCTGCCGGGAACTGTCCCGCAACCCAGGCATTTGCCCTGACTGGGAATCAAACTGCAATCCTGTGGTTCGTAGGCCTGGGCTCAATCCACTGAGCCACATCGGCCAGGGCTGTATTTTGAATTTTAAATAGAGGAAACTAGCAGAGTTCTTCAGTGAAAAGAAACTAATTGATTATAGCACAAACTGAATTTTCTAAATATAAAGCATATGGCCTTTTCTTTCCTTACTGTTTTTTTAATCCTCACCAACAATATGTTTTTATCAATTTTAGAGAGAGAGAGAAACATCTATGTGAAGGAGAAACATTAATCAGTTGCCTCCTGTATGTGCCCAGACTGGGATCAAACCAGCATGATCTTTTGGTGGACAGGAAGATGTTCTAACCGAGTCACCCGGCCAGGGCTGGCCTTTTCTTTTTTTAGATAACAACTGTGTCTTATTTTTGTGGTCTACCAGGACACAGGATTTGCTCCCTTGTAAAAATATAGTGTTCAGTAAAAGTATTAATTTTTTAATATTTATGTTGATGTAGGGTATTTTCCAGTAAACATTTGTGTTCCTGGCTTTATGCCTTTGGTAAGAATTACTTATGGAACTGGAACCATTTAAGTAATGTGTCCAAAAACATTTTCCATGCATTAAAAAAATTAAAGGGAGAGGAGGACAAAGAACGTGCCTGACCAGGAGGTCTTGTAGAATCTTGTGGTTGAAAGTTTTAATGCAAAAATGGAAAATATTACCATATATTAGAAAGCATTTAGAAGACCATGATGAATATGGATGCATGTTCAGATCTTTCTTATTTTTGCCCTGTGGAACAGGGTGAATCATAATTCTAGCTGGGCACTGTCTAAGTATTTTCTCATTATATTGTCTCATTGTCCTTGTGAAGATTTTAGTCTTCCTGTTTTACAGATGAAAAATCTGAACCTTAAAGAAAGTAAGTTTCAGATCACATGGCCAGTGTAAGAGAGGTGGACTTCAAATCTATGTTTCTTTTTTTATTTTTTAAAATTCTATTTATTTATTTTTAGAGAGAGGGAGAGGGGAGTAGGAGAAAAACATCAATATGTGGTTGCCTCTCAAGTGCCCCTAATGGGGATCTGGCTGCAACCCAGGCATGTGTCCTGACTGGGAATTGAACCTGCGACCCTTTGGTTCACAGGCCAGCACTCAATCTACTGAGCCACACCAGCCAGGCTCAAAACTGTGTTTTTGACATCAGAGCCAGTGCATGTATTTCTCAAAGTGGCATTGAAACACTTGCATCAGAATCACTTTGGGTGTTAGAAAAACAAGTTTCTGGCTCTGTGCCCTAGTAAATCAGTCTCTTGAAGGGGGAGGAGAACAGAAGACTACTTTTTAAACAAGAACCCAAGAAGATCCCATTGTGCACTGGAGTTTGATTATAGCTGCACAAAGTTATCCTGCTGTTTCCTCATTTCAGGAATAGAAATAGCTAGCCTTTTAAATTTCCTTGTATTGTGCTTGTTCTGATAGAAATAGATTGCCATAATGAGAACTTTTAGATGTTGCACTTATGGTTTAGATTACCTTGGTCAGCCTTTTAATAGAGTCTCAATGGAGTAAAAGCATGAAGTGCACAGTTGATATGAATTGCAGAGAGGACAGTATGGATTCAAAAATAATAATATAAGCATTTCATTCAAAGCAGCAAGTAAGCAGAATTAAAGTCAATATGTTTAAATAAATTTTTAAGCAGCTTTAGATTTTCATCATATTTGAGATAGAGAATCTTACAGTCTTAAGAGAGTATTGTTTTGTGAGAAACTTAAAAGACAAACTTTAAGAATACACAATATTGAAAATTATTGGTCACTTTTTAATCTTTTCAGCCATACCTCTACATAATAGGGTATTTTTCCCAAATAAATAAATGTTATTTAGGAAACAAATGAGCCCTTTGAACTAGACACAGTTGCTCTCATGTGCTTCTTAAATAAGAGCAGTGGGTGCCAGCGTGATGTCTTAATTCTCTTAGCATTTGGTTTGAATTTAAGTATATTGTTTCAAAATTACTTCAGGTGGAGTAGCCACACATCTCCTGGACTCCTAGCCCTGTTCCTTCCTCTGTATTCCTTAGCTTCATAATATCATAATTTCCCAGTCGTGCAAGCAAAAAACCTCAGAAACATACACTCCATTCCCATATCAGGACATGCACTGAGGCGCCTCAGAAATGTCATGTATCCTGTCTTTCATTTGCATGGCCCCAGTTAAGGTCCTTACCTGTCATTGGTTGGTGTGCAGTCTTACTACTTTCCAATCCAGGCTTTGCAAATCTTATAGCTCCACTAGCCAAAAGGACTTAATGGACCCAATTCTTTTTGCAACAAGGTCCAAATTCCCTAGGCTAGAATTAAACACCATTCATAACCCTTTCGAGGCTGACTTCATTTCTTAGTATTTTCCCCAGACACACACTCTAGGCATACTCTAGTCTACTTGTCACTGCCCAGGCACCTCTTTCTGCACTTTATTGTCTGCTTTATGTATGGTTTTCAGTGTTGTGGAGTGCTTTATTTTTTTCACTTTTTTTCTCTTGAAATTCGACTTTCAAGACTTGACCTAGATGTTTGCATTTTCTTTTGTACCTGCACAGCATTTAGCTTGATCACATTGTACACTCATTGGTAGTTATTTTAGATGATCACATTGTACACTCATTGGTAGTTATTTTAGATAAAAATGTGACATAGATTCTGTTGGCAGAGAAAAATTCTTGTCTTGTGACCATCACAGTGTAATGAGGGATTTAACATAAAGTGCAATAGGAGCACAATGGAGAGGGTGCTTAACTTTGTTGGAGGCGGGATAGTGAAGATAAAATGATAACTAGACACTGATAAAACATTTACTGCATGCCAGGGACCATCCATATATTAATTCTCATCCCTGCGAAGTAGCTGCTATTATTATTCCCACTTTGGAAAGGAAAGCTGGGGTAGCAGAGATGAGCTTGCTCAAGATCACATAGCCAGTACAAGCTGGAATCAAACTCAGGCATTCCAGATAATGCAGAGAGGCATGTGTAGATAATTTGGTCCTACTTGGAGCACTTGTTCTTACTGGAAGCAGGGTAAATAGCAATACTATATAGAGTATAAAGTGCATAATGATAAAGGCTCCAGGCAGTGGAGACCTTCTGAAGTATTTTAACCTGGAAAGATTTATACCCAGGTGAAATTAGCATTGTAAATTACTCTGATGGTGTGGTGGATTGGCTTTTCCTTTTAGAAAGCAGAGAAACCAATCAGTAGGTATTGTTGCAATGAGTCCAGATGAGCTAGAACTAAGGCAGTGAAAGGGGGGATGGAAGGGACATAGCAAAGAGATATTTAGGAGATAGAATTGACAGGACATATGACTAAAAAATACATGGAGTGGGCATAGGAGAAGGAGAAAATGAGGGATATAGAAGAGCAGAGTTAGAAGGTAGATAATAAGTTTGATTTCAGATGTTTACTTTCAAGTACCTGTGAGGCATCTGATCTCTTCCTTGCTAAACTAGAATGTAGGGTCTGTAAGGGTGAGGATTGTGTCTTTTCATTGCTCTATTCCTAGCACTTAGGGTATAGCTGGCACATTGAAGACATTCAGTTGTTTAATTGAATACACTCAGGTGGATATGTCTACTTGGTAACTTGAAATTGTGAGTAGGAACTTAGAATACCAGTTCTGAGTTGAAGATACAAATTTAGGAGTTATAGTCAAGAATGGCTAAGATTTCCAAGG